ACACACACACACACACACACACACACACACACACACACACACACACAACTGTACTTCAGGAGAAGTATATTTGAAAACACACCAGATCGCTCCAATGCCAAATACTTGATAATAGCTGCCTTCTTGTTACTGTTACTGCAATGGAACAGTGATTGCAGCGGCCTTTTCCAGGGCTGGGTATGATCTCACTCTATCAGCTCGGGCCGGAGGATCAGTGAGGTTCACCCCCAGGTGGGACACTTAACACTACACCTCAACATATCCAGTGAAACGCCGCAAACATGAATCAACATTTGCCTGGCTCATGCTAGGACACTGTCAATGAACCAAAGCAACTGGAGAGCTGAGCAAAGGAATGACACAAAAACAACTCCCCACTGCTTCTCGTGCTCGTAAATCAATGTGCTAAAAATCGATGAGGAGCAACTTGAAATCCATTCACCCCTATTTCCTCTTTCTTTGGTGCTGTTAATGAATCATAAAGCTCCAGCCTGCAGCTCTCTCTACTCAAATTCTTGCTTTTCAGTTTTGTTTATCTTCACACTGCATTGTTGACCTAAGCCTATTTGGGTTCCTGTAGATTTTCTCTTGCTGTTTACAATAATTCAGACGAGCTGAATTTACAGCTCTTGCGCTCAGCTGGTTGAACTGACACGGATAGTTCTTTATTGCCGTTATATGCAGTAGGTGTGATAGCAGTTCAGTGTTTTCTATCAGACCAGCGGTCAAGAATTACCCTGATTTCTGAAGGCAAATGCGATTTCACTCTGTCTCTCTCTGTATGAATGTGTGCAGGAACAAAACTCCTAGAAAATGTACAGATCCTTTCAGATAACAAACAGACACAATTGACCCTGGGAAAAACTATGTTTGGCCTCATTAGTCCCTCCCACAGAGATCAGGCCAGCCTATCTCTCGCCTGCTCCAGGATAATCAGTCCAGAGTTCACCTGCCGTTTACTCCATGTCATCCTCTCTTACTGTCGAGCTATTCACCTCCTTTCATTTCCTCCTCTGCCAGAATTGTGCGTCTCAGGAGATCCGTTCCTTGGAGGCAGGAGCGAGGCTGAATGTGGATTGCTGAGCACGGGCCTGATTGAGATGTCATGTGGAGTAGCCGCCTGCTCTGAGGTGACAGGAAATCACACAATCTATGGCATTTAGCTCTCAACACTTGGACGCTTTAACAAGAGATGGATGGACACCCCAGCAACTACGAAATCAGGAGTGTGTCTTGACTTCAACGGAGGCGTCTGAGGTTATTTCACTCACTTTACCATCCCCCCGCCAATCACAGGTGGAGCTTATTGCGAGGACTGGAGTGGCTTGATTTACATACAGCACTTTGGAAGCAGCTTGATTTCTACTATGAAAATGGTCATTTGCTGGATCCATTTTAGAGGGAATGTCATTTCACAATGTAGACATGAATGTATGTAATCTATGTGTGTATTTACTCATGTGAATCACCTTCAGTCTTTTTTATTGGTAGATTTTACCATCAACCTTTAAGGAAGTTATTGGAACTTAGTTGATTACTCATACCCACAGTATGAGCAATCATTCCCACTGGTATTAGTAGTAGTCTTATGACCGGCTTGAGAATATTTGAACTCAACCTAAAGCCAACAGTGGCAATATGACTATCTCCATAACTGAAGGCAGGATGCTGCTGTTGAACTCTAATGGTTCAGGGGATCTGCTGGGGAACAGCAGCGACACGGGGCTGGGCAATGTGGAGCAGGTCCTCGTCCCCGTATTAGATCTACTGATTCTGACGCTGGGAGTTGGTGGGCACACCATAGTGATGATGATCCTGTGTAGAAGGCGGAGACATATTGGACAGTCCCCTCCAAGCTCCATGACAGGCACAGGAACTGACGTCCTCCTGCTGGCTCTGAGCGCTGCAGACTTGCTTTTGCTTTCCATGCTTCCCTTCCACACCGTTGCCATAGCCATGCAGCGATGGCCGTTCGGAGACTTCATGTGTCGTCTGGTGAGCTTCTTGGGATCGGCCTGCTCCTCAGCCAGCGCCTTCACGCTGGCCATGCTGGCTGCGTCTCGATATCTGACTGTGGTGCGGCCTGCCAGAGCTTTCAGCCTCCTCTCCCCTCGCCGTGTGTCTATAGCGGCTGTGCTCCTCTGGGTCCCGGCCTGCTGCCTGGCTACTCCACAGCTGGTTTTTCGCTTTGTGGGAACCCCACGCGGAACCCCTGATGGCCTCGCTTGTTTTGCTTTCCCGTCCCACAGAGAGCAGCTGATCTACGGATTGTTTCACTTCCTCGTGGCCTTCTTGCTTCCACTGGTCACCATTGCGGTGGCATACGGCAGCATCTACATGTTCCTGTGGGGGAGGCAGCATACCGGCAGGGCTCCCCAAGTAGAGCGCTACCAGAGCAAAGTGACCAAGACGTCGGCCATGTTGGTGCTGGCTTTTACCCTGTGCTGGCTGCCATCCTATGGACTCACACTGGCCTTATTGGTGGATGAAAGCTTAGAGGCCAATGGTGCATCTCCGCGCTACGGCCCCTTCAGTGTATTTGCACGCCTCATGGCGACCTCGTCTACGGTGATGAACCCCATCCTATATGTACTGATGTCCCAAAAGTTCAGACAAGACCTACTAAGGCTGTTCAAGAGGGGAGGGCAAAGAACCAGTGTTGCTGTGGCTATGGTAGCTGCTTGAGTGAATTACCATCAACAACTAGCTTGATATACCCAAACATCTGAGCCACTGGGCAAATCCTAATGGGAATCACAGTAAAACAATTATAAGCTGAGCAGCTTTGCTGAAGGACACAATCATTACCCTCATGAAAAAAGTCTACTTAACAAGGAAAAGCAACAACACTCACAACAGCAGGCAACATTCAACATCTTTGCCTCTTGACAAGACTGGTTGTCTGGATATTGTAAAAGAAGATCAAACCAGTAGCTCTGGGAGTTGCCGCTCCCCAGCGACAGTGGGACAAACAATCCTGAATCATGCATTCCTTGTAAAACAGTAAAGGCACGTTGGTAAAACATTAACGGTGCACCTGTGTTTTGTTGTGCTGAGATAAGGTCATCTGTGAATCTGTAGGCCTGTTGATACTAATATACACTCTGTTCTCAAAGCATTCAATTTGTTTTTAGTTTGGCAACAACTTCAGAATAAAAGCTTCCTGGTTGTGTTTAGGTTCGCTGGGATGAGTGTTTTGGAAAACAGTGATTTTCTCCTCCAGAAGATTTCTCACTGGGGGGGGGGTCTGATGTTTACAATTAAGGTTCTTTGTTATTCACCAATAAAGTGGAGTAACCAGAAATAACTCTTGACTAATGACCAGTGTCCAAAATCAGGTTTGGGAGGGGGAATAAACTGGGACATAAACTGGTGGAGGTTGACAAGTGGCTGTTAGACTTAAAACGAGGGAATACTCACTCTCTACCACAGTCTTGCGGTCGGATCCGTCATCACTGATCCGCTGGATGTTGCCGAAGTGGATGTCGCTGAAAAAGATACGGTTGGCTCCCTTTCCTCCACCTCCTCTGTAATCAAAAGTGAGTGCGATGACGTTCTTCATATGCTCGGGGTCCTCAAATGGTTTAATGGGGGCATTCAGGTTGTTTTCATCCGACAGGTGGACACTCTTTAGTATGGTGCGCTCTGAGTAAAGCAGGTAGCCGTCGTAGTCACGACAGCTGCAGCCGTCCTCCGCCAGCATGCCATGAGCGCAGGCACATGTCCGATGTCCATTGCCACGGAAAAGACAAAGCTGCTGGCACCCGCCATTTTTGTCTTTGCACACATTTGTTCCTGTACACAGAGACGTGAAATCCATGAAATAATCCTCAACTACAATTAAATTGCTCAAAACAACCTGGAATTGCACAACAAATGTGATGTGACATTTATGAAGTATTAAACGATTATGCAAAAATACAATAGACATTTTACAGTTTTAAAACTAACGGCGTGGTGCTTACCTTGCTGCCTGGCCCTGTTGAAAACCTTGATGTCTTTGAGCTGTACACCAATACCAGTCCTCAGAGACACAGAGTCTGTGGCGTTGTCCTTGCTGCCTCTCTTTATGGAGCCATTGGCATGTGTCCTGGTCCAAATGTTAAACAGAAATTAAACAGAAATTAAGCTAGATGAATGAAATACTAAGACTCGCCAATAAGTGACAAATGAGGTGGGTATGTCTTACCTGTCACTCCAGTAGATGTAGCTCTCAAACACAGACACAGAGAACATATCCATGTTGTTGTTGGCCAGCACCACCTCCCTGTTCTCTCCAGTCTCCAGGTTGATGCGCTCAATCTTGTCTGTCCTGGCATCGCACCAGTACAGCAGACTCTCCTACATGCACACGGACGGGAATGGTTGAGATGATGTTATGATGCAGTGTTCCCTGTCTGCACTGTAATATAGTGATATAAATGCAAGGCTGGCCCGTTATACTGCACCTCATAGTCAATGGAGATACCGTTGGGCCAGCTGATACTGCCATTGACCAGGACAGCCCTCTGAGTGCCATCCAAACGAGACCGTTCAATACGGGGGTACTGGCCCCACTCTGTCCAGAACAGGTAGCTACACACACACACACACACACACACACACACACACACACACACACACAGAGACAACTTCCTCAGTAATCAATAATGAGAGAGATTACAGAAGCAGAAGCTACAGACAGCTACAGTAGTAATTGGAGTGTTGTCTCCTCTCACCCTTTCGCAGGGTGGACAGTGATGGCCCGAGGCTTATCCAGGCCCTGGGAGATCACCACATAGCGGAAAGAGCCATTCAGTCTGGCCACCTCGATCACATCAAAGCCTTGGTCCGTCCAGTAGATGTTTCCTGTAGAGGATGAAGGAGAAACATTAATGCTCCGGCCCTGTAAAACCTCCTTCTGGACACTAAAAGTGACTTTCAATGACCTCGGAATTAAATTATTTGTCCCTTCTGTGTCTGTTCTTTGTGTATCTCTTTCCTGTTTTCTAGTACAATAGGTTTTCCTCCTTGCTTTATATTCATCTCCCTTACTACTGCGTGGTAACAGAAAAACAAAGGATGATAGATATACTGACAGCAAAAGTGAAACTTAGTTTTATCAGTATCTATGATTGATGCTGTTTGAAGTCCACAATCTTGGTCATGTACACTGTTTATTACATGTCTGTGGAGTCTCTCACCTGCTATCCAGTCCACAGCGATGCCCTCCACCCTGCCGATGCCGTTAGTGACCACGTCCTCTCTCCAGGTCTGGTCTCTCTTGGCCCTGCTAATGGTGCTCAGGCCCATGTCCACCCAGTAGATTGTGTCATTGTCTGTGAAAACAAGTGAAAGAGTTGGACTGATCAGAACTTTCCTTTACTCTAATACAGTAACACATACTAAATGCATTGGTAAATTAATCTGGTATTTCAGAGTCATTTTTATTGTTGTAAAAAAGTCTTACCAGCATGGAAATCTATGCCCACAGCCAGGGATGTGCCCGACACTGGTACCAGGGCATCAGACTTGTCTGATGGGTCCAAAGGAATACCACGTATGCCTTCATGCACAGAGTACAGCAGGAAAGAGCCAACACCTACAGAAAAAAAACAAATAAAACTCCATGTTTTGAGTTACAGCACACATTTTTCATTTTCATAAATTCTTAGATCCAAATTTGGCAAAATCAAGAAAACGCGTATGAATGTGTCCTACCCTCACAAGACTGTTGCCCTGTGCGCAGGCTGTATCCTGCAGTGCACATGCAGGCTCTGGTGGTCGGGGAGGTGGGGAGACACAGCTGGGAACAGTCTCCATTGTTATTACTGCAGAGATTGGCGCCTGGGAACACAAAAGCACGAAAACAAATACAGAAAACATATCAAAGAGGAGTTACAGAGACATAAACAGATGTGCTTTGGCATAGATAAACAGGCCACATGCAGCAAGCAAAACAGACCTTCAATGAGACAAGGACATATTTTCCTCCCTTCGTTTTTTTTAAATGCATTTGCTTAGTAATTTAACAGTAATTTAACCAGCTCTGCACCTTTCTGCACAGTTTCATTGTAGATTTTCATGTGCATCATGGGGGACGTGCTGTTCCTCAGGATTTTCCAGTTGCCACCATCCTTCTTGTCACAGGTTCCTATCTGGTCTGTTCCTTGGTCCGCCCACCACAACTTGTCTCCTAAAGGATACAACAGAGGACAGGATGCTTAGCACTCGCCATCAGAACCCGACCTAACACCCGAAGAACCCTCAACCTTAACTAAGAGCAACATTTAAAGGCACACATACATTAAACAAGAACGTTATCATATGTCAGGGCTGAGCTCTCTCTGCATATATTGCTGGCTAAAATGAACATTTTCTGGAAACGTACCCATGATGGCCAGAGCAGTAGCCTTGGTCAGCTTGCCCTTTACTCCGTCAAGCACTTCCAGTCCAGAGCCGTCCAGTTTACAGCGGTTGATGGTGCTGTTTCCTGAGCTGATCCAGTACAACTGCTCAGTGTCAAAGTCAATGGAGAGACCTGGAAAACCAACAGAGAGCTGATATGTAATGACATGCCCTTTCACTAGGGTGTGCTGTCTCTCATGCAGTCAGACAAAGAGGTAGAGTATGTCACTCACCGACAGGGCCTTTCTGGCCAGTGAAGAGAACACTTCGGTTGTTGCCGTCTGTGTTAGCTATGCTGATATTGTCCCCATCTGTCCAGTAGAGTTTCCTGAAAGGGTCAGACAGAGAGAGAACTTCTAAATCATTCTTAAATCATACTTTAAATCTTACCTTATACTCTAAACATAGTCAATAGGCCACCTAATATGACTCCCAAGTCTCACCATATAAAAGTCATTGCTCATTGTGTGGCACTTATTGACAAAAAGGTTAAATAAATGATTTGAGGGAATCAATTTATCTTGTGATGTTTGTCATGACTGTTGTAATAGTCTTTTTTAAATATTTCGTTGGTTGATTGTTGTGGCTGCCTTTCGTTTACCTGTGGTCATTGTTTGTATGCTGGTTTTGTGGTTCTGTGTCGAATCTTAGGAAATGTTTTCTCTCTTGAAAAAGTGATCTAAAAAAGACTGCATGGTCTTATAAATGGGAAAGTATAATATATAGCAGTATATAATATTATTATAATAGTGTTAGGAATAGCAACAAAAAAATCCTGTAGAATCTATTGAGCATATAGTCTGGAAATCATACCATATGTGACTAATAGGAATGTAAAAAAAAAGAAAAAAAAAGATGTCTCTCAAGTTCAACAGAGGCTGAAGAAGTTGGATGAAGCCGATATATAGGCATGGGGAACCACTTCAAATCAGCAGCTGAAAAATGACCTCAGGCTTGTCATTGCCTTCAACTTCGTTGCTTCTCAAACTGGTCAAAGTCCTCACACATAAATGCGGAGTATACAGCGTGGAGAATACAGGACAATTGATTGTGTTTGATTGTGTGTCACTGTGTTTAGACTGTGTGTAATCTATGTTTAAAGGGTATCCATCTTCTCCCATCACCCACTTCCTGTTAAATCCCACCACATCCACCACACCCTTCATTTGTTTGAGAACATGCCTTTAAATAAAGTTTCTGCAGCATTTAAACGCCCTCATTCTTTTGCACACATACACACAAGTTTGAGTTTGTCCCTCCCTGACTCTCTTTGCCCCCACCCACTCCTGGACATATTCTGGGCAGTGTGTTTATGTGCCAGAAAGAGGAGACAGCCCCAGCATATGGACCCAGCATCTGCTTCTCATTTTCCCCCATGCCAACAATGCTCAAATCGGAAACATTCCTCCGCTTAAGTAGGCTAAGTCTTTGAAAGCAGGAAGGAGTACACAAAAAAACACAAGGAGGCAGGGACATTTCTTCAGAAAATATCCTTTCTTCATCCACCTCAAACACTCAAAAGCACACATATTCATGCAGGACAGAACTAAATATATAAATACAGATAGTCTGTTTCTGCTCTTGAGACAGAGGAGGGACAGAGGCCAGGTTCTGTTTGGGGAGTTAGGGGGGATGAGGTTTCAAGGAGAAGAAGGGAGGGAAAATGGACATTTGCTAAACAAGGCAGGAGGGGACAGGATGTATGATAAACACTGGGTCAGAAATAGCGACAGATAGCCACAGAGACACTCCCAGTAAATCATTTACAGATAGTACTGTATATCTGAGCGCATGCAGCCATCTTTCAAAAATAGAAATGGAGCAAGATGTAGAAAGAGAGCGACGGAGGAGAAAGATGACGCGAGGGGAGAAAAATTGGAACCACATCCTGAGCGAAGTAACAGTCAGAGGTCAGCGACCATCTATACCAAACGACTCTGCCTGTCATCGCTGACTGCAAACAGAAGGGAGCCTGACAGCCAGACACCGCCTGAGTGTGTATAATTGTGTGTGCACACTTCTGTGTGTACGTGTTGTAGGTTAAAGGTGAAATCAGGAGGGTGTCTGAGAACAATTTCTGAAAGCTTAATTTAGAATAAGTGACAGATTTAGTGTGTGTGTGTGTGTGTGTGGACGACCAACCCTAGTATTGGATGCAGCACCAGACAGTGTGGTTTGTCTAGGCCCTGGATGACAGCATTTTTGAAGGAGCCGTCCAGTCTGGC